CTTTGTCGTATGGAGTCGCTGTGAATTGAAATGGACTCTTCAACACCCAACGAAAGAAGAGGCAAACGATGGATGGAGGCACGTGAGAAAATAAATAAAGGACCATGGCCTCCTAGTCATACTAACAGTTCTGAGGAAGTGGGAGCGAAAAGAAAGGCAGTATTATTGAGTCCCAGGGGTGAGGTTCATGTGACTGAAGAGGTCAGGAAAAAGTAAAGACACAACTGGAAGAACCGTCCAAAGCAGAGAGAGAAGGGGAGAAATTCTTGTGCCCATTAATCTCTCACAAATTCCCTGCATAGGACAAGTCTTGATGGAAGCAGCTGAACCCCAGGCAAAATAAAATCCAAACTCTGTTACTGAGTCAATTCCAACCTATTGGAATCTGAGAAGGACAGAGTCGAACTGCCCCAGTGGGTTTCCAAGGCTGTCCATCTGTATGGGAGCAGAACGCCTTCTCTTTTTCTCTTGAATCCATTCCCAATTCCTGACCATGCTATTAGCAGCCCAGCACTTAGCCCACTACCTCACCAGGACTGCTCTAAAACTGTATCAGCACCCTGCCATGCAGTTCACAGTGACCTTAAAAATTGGGGACAATAGCCTCAGTTATCTGCCAAGCATGTTTGATGACCAAGGCCAATCACATTTTAAAATAATAATTGTCTCTAGGAGAAATTGTTTGCAACAATAAGCTTCAAGATAACCCATTTTTATTATTTACTCTTTAATAATCTTTTATTGTTTATAGACATTACTCTGAAGATATATAAATTCTGAAATTCAGATTAAAATAATTCAAGCTAGCTAGTATATTATTTATGCCTGTAATTCTTGTAACATGCAGTTTGGGAATACACAGAAACTGAGGGACTTTCTCTTTAATCCTGTCATTGAATGGGGTCTGGGAATTTTTATTTTTATTAAAAAATTAGATAATAAAATATCGTGGCTGGAGAATGATTATTTGAAAACCAAGTCTGGCTGAATGATAATCTAGGAAAAAAACCCTCATAGTCTCATGAAATGGAGCCATACAGCCATGGACACATGCATTAGGAGTCACTGATATAGGTAATATCTATCCGCCTAGAATCTACCTATCTATTTATTATCTATAATGTTTTATCCACCAATTTTCATCTCTCGACTATTTCTTTATATTTCTCCAGAAACAATGATTGCTTAGGACCTAGAACAACATAAATATGTGAATACATTTTCTTTTTTTACCAGGAGTACCTTACCATTGACACATTCATAATTTAGAAGCACAAATGCAGACAATAATAAACAATGAACTTAACATTTACCTGGATTTATTACTTATTTTTGTAACAACTACAACAGATAGCACTGTTCCTTAGTCTCTCTCTGAAGGTATTTTAATTTCACCCTTAGACTCTCAAATCCGTTCGAGACTGTCATTTCTTTTAACCCCATTTTGGAGGACTTGGACTAGACTAGCTGAACATTTCCGCTAAAATGCACTGATATTTCAACACTTTTAATCATCCATTTTAAAAATTTTATTTTTACCTAATTTAAAGGACAGTATTTCATCATTTTAAAGGCAAGGAAGCTTGGTTGAACTGAGCCATGTAAGTTTTTGTCCACAATCTTTCCAGATTTTTGGCTTTTCAGATTCCAAGGTCAAGAATTTTCTTCTTCTTCTTCTTCGTCTTCTTCTTCTTCTTCCCTTCCCTTTCTGAGTTTGACTGTTTCATTCCTTCCCTGGAGGAGGGGGGAACCTCAGACTATTATGATGCAGACATATTGTTTACCACTTTCAAGCATCTGTTAAATGTTTACTTACTTCTATTGCCATCGTGGCTGCAAGAATCCACGCAAGCAGAACAATTGAGAAAATGCCACAGAACCAGGTCTGTTTCATTCTGTTGTACATAAAGGTCTCCAGGAGCTTCAGCCAACTTGGTGGCCTCTAACAACTGTTGAATGGGGAGCGGTGGTGAGTCAGTGTACAATTTCCTCCCTGCGGGAAGCCAGGTTTGATCCCTGACTGACTAAAGCACCTCACGAGCGGCCACGACCTATGTGTCCATGGAGGCTTCTTTCTGACTACAGTGTTGCATATGCTTCCAGGGAGCTTCCAGTCTAGGAAGAATAACCTAGAATATTTACTGTATATCTAATGGAAATTTAAGTTACAGGAAGTTTCTTATCTTTGTCCATGCATACTTGGAAAATATAATGTAAAGTCCCTTTTTACCTTTTGATATCACCCCCTTCCTTGATTCCCACTAAAGGTGGTCAACAGTGTACAGTTTCATCTGACAATGGAGTAAAACTGAAAACCAAATTAGCTGAATTCGTTTCTGTGGTGTTTATGCATTTTTGTGGATCTGAAAACCTTGATCTTCATAAGTTTTTAGAACATTTTTGGAATGGAAACGGAAGTAAGCTTATAGAGGTGATGTTAAGAAAGAAATCTTAGGTTAGAAGAAGCAAGTTTCTCCACTATTTCTCTGTACACAATGAGTCAGAGCAACATATCTGGAAATAGTGCATTCATCTGTCAAAGCAGTAGGTTTGAACATGAGCTGTTTTGGTATTTATCCAAGTTCTCCAAGGAATTCTAGTATGGAGCTAGTGCTGAAAACCACTCATCTAAGCAATGCAGCACAAAAACCACCCAAACATGGTAAAGAGTCACGAGGACTGCGAAACCTAAAAGCACAACATGGGCAGGTACATCAGACATCTTTTCAGTAACCTGTGTACTCAATAATTGAGTGCTCATCCCTGATGCTACATCAGCCCCCTGAACCCACTATCCCAAACAGTGGCCAGCTCACTTTGGGCCATAAGAACTTTGTAACATGTGGGAAAGTATCCAAACTGTTGAGTTTAAGTTAAGTTAAAAATAAATAATTAAATGAGATGCATATCTTGCATACATGGGTTTGTTGTGTGACATTCAGATTTATAAAGCACCTTGAAAATCACTGAGCAACATTAAAATGTCTGTCTAGTAAACAGGGAGAATAATGGACAGAAAAATAACTGGTTAGGGGAGGTGGAAGTCATTTTTCCTAAAGATGAAGAATTAAAGAGTTATTCTTAGTTGCTGAAATTTTGCTTTATAGTTAAGAGTTAATGTTTTTGCTAATAATCTTATGGTTCTATGCAGTGCTACACGTTTTACTCTTTGATCCTCTGACCAGTAGAATTACATGCCTCATTTAGACTGAGAAATCCATCCTCACACAGCTAATTACCTCTTCTGGAGAACCAAAGAGGAAGACAAATGGTGCCATGACGACCTTTAATCATATATCTTGTTTTTCTTGATGGCTTATTATTTGCTTCTATAAGATGAATGAATCCTTTGACAACACACCCAATTTTATCAACAACAGCAATTCACATAATGCAAAATTATTGTGAAGGGAGAAAATTATAAACCTAATATAAGCAATTAATATTTTGAATTAAAATACAATCTTAGGGAAAAACAATCTTAATAACTGATTTTCCTATTATGTAAAGATATCACACTTCTAAATGCAAACAGCATTTATACTTTTAACTAGCATGTTACAAATGTTTATAATACTGTCATAGCACCAAGCATTTGACATACTGAGACCTCAGTCATGGTTTCTAGATTGGTACAAAGGTCTGATATTAAGATCCAGTTTTGAATTTTATCTGTTTCTGTGTTTTGGAGTTACTGAAAAATCTTTTCAGGATAGATCTTTGATTTCAAATATGCTAACAACTTTGAAATATGTGGTTTGTGTTTTTATAATAAAGTTAAATACACAAGTGTTTGCTGAAAAAATTCACTTTTTCCTTAAGAATACTTAATGTAAATTATACATATTTTATATGTAAACACATTTTTGAATTGCTAAAAATGCAGAAGTAAACATTGATTGGTTCACAAGCTATTAGAGATAGTTAAAAGTAATTCATAGGATGATCTTGTCCCACAAACCTTTTCTAGCCCCCAGTAAGTCCTGGCCCATGACTCACATACTTTTAACCTTGATATCTTTGTGTACAAATGGGAAATGAAAACTAAGATAATGGTTTATATAACTCAAGACAACAAATGCATTAACCATGCCTATATATCCATTAGAGAAAGGATAGAGGGAGAGAGGAGAATAAAACAAGGACTAGAAACCATTCTCTTCACCGTGTAAACCCTGTTTTCTCACTTGGACCAGGTTTCCTCTAAAAGAGAAAGGAGTGTGTGTACCCTCCGGCTGACCTGTTTAATCAACAAAGATGGGGGTCTTCCATTTATTTCCATTTAGAAATCACGCATTATAAAAAGGCATATTAATATTTATTTATAAAGCAATTTTCTTTGAAAATATAACGGTAAGTATGTGTAACAGAAAAAAGAGCCATCATCTAAAACTCTCTAGGAGAAATCACATGTCCAATTTCCATTAAAAAGTGTCTAATTTTTAGTGCATTTTAATTTTGTAAATAAATACCAAATATTTTCATTAGATAAGTATTCCTATATTTTGATAAATTTATGTGAGATCATTTACTAGCACCTATGTTTTTCAGGGTAAGTGCTAAAAAGAAGTTACAATTTAGTAAATATGTTCCTGTTGAAACCAATTTGAAGGATAAACTAAAAAAACTAAACATTTATTTCATTAGGTGTTTTACTGCTATGGCTCATAAATTGCAATAGTATTTACATTTACTAGAAGATAATATATGATTCTTAAAAAGAATAACCTAATGACTTAATTCGTCAGATATGCTTGATTTTAGACTATCGAAATGGAAATGGGGCTGAGCCCAACTAAAGTAAACCCATTTAATATACTTAAAGCCAGAATGCTCAAAGTATGTCACTGAGAATAATGCAGGTGACAAACCAGTCCGAATCTGAGTTTAAATCCTGTCGTGGGGCAAGTTCTCCTCCTGCCTGGTGTACTTGGCGTGTCTCTCAAGGCCTTTATACACACTCCTGAACTGTAATCCATTGCTTGGGCTGACAGCAGGTGTTAGACGTAACTGGTAGAGGTCTTACGCAGCATTGCCACGTTTCTGGGCCTATTTGGCTGTGGCGCAGGGTACGTTGGGGCTGGGTATCTGAATCTTTGCTTCTTTCGGTTGCAACAGCAGAAGCCGCAGAGCAGACCCCCTGCGACGAAGAGGACAGCAGTGGTGGCCCAGCCCAGAAAGAGTGCCACTCCCAGCTCTCGCTTCTGACCCGCGAGGACAGCTGGGTTGTAAAAGTCCCGGATGATGTTATTGGCTATCCAGCACACTGGAATCAGCACGAAGATGCCTGTCAGGATAAAGAGAACTCCAGATGTGCCCAGGAGGTACGCTTTGGCCCTCTCGTTGGACCCCGTGCACTGGATCTGCTTCATGCCGCAGATGCCAATCAGGAGAGCAATTAAAGAGAGGGCCACCGATATGCACATGAGCGCCCGGGCCGTTTCCAGAGCAGGGGGAAGCGCCAGCATAGAAGTATAAAATTTGCACTGTAGCCTGACCCGGGCTTGTCGAATGCAGTTCATCCACAGGCCTTCCCAGATCTTTTCAAAGACAACAATGTTGCTGCCTACAAAAGCCGATACTCTCCACTGAGGCAGAAGGGTGGTGGCAAGCGTCCCAACGGTGCCAAGGAACCCAAGAACCAGGCCAGCAATTTGCAGCGGGTAAAATGCCATCTCCTTTACCTTGGCGATTGGTCCAATCTAGAGTGGCAGGGGATGCTCCGGATGTAGAATGCAGAGGCCTCGTGGAGCCTAGAGCAGTCTCCGATGAGCTTCTCCAAGGTACCAGCCCATCGTGGTCGAGGGGAAATCAGCAGCAGGGACGGCACGGAGAGGAACGACAAGTACCTGTTGTAAATGCATGTTACCTTTGTACACACACTCATTTCTCTGTGGATTATTTAGTAGTCATGTATAATTGCTTCCCAGCCAATAAGAAGTAGTCAGGGGTGTGTCAAGAAACACTACCTTCAACTTCAGTATTCCTCATATCATTATTGACTTAGCAATGTTGTAATTAAGAGCCAAAGCTTTCATTGTGGATTCAGCTAATTACAGAGCTTAAAACTTCCTGCCTAAAAATCACTCTCCTGTGGAATTGTACATACATAAGTGCATTAAGTCACAACTGAAGACCGCCCTAAAACTTTGTCAATTCTACAGAAAACCTTTAAAAATGCATTGGACATGATATGATCGATTACTTTCTTTTAGTCTAAGAGACCTTTCCTTAATTTGGTTCATCAGTTTAATTTGGTTCATTAAATAAAAAGACTCTAGATAGAAATCCTTATTTATTAAAATGATTTCATGACTTCTACAAAAAGCAGTGCTACTTTGTAATTTAGAGAAGATATCTTGAGCATACACATCAAAATTTCACAATTTTATTTTTAAGATTAAGTAAGGACAAATAGAGACAGTCCCTATAATTGATTTGACTTTATTCATACTCATAGAATGTCTCTTAAATAATGTCTCTTTCTCTCTCATAAAATAAGCTTTCAAATGCAAACTTTCTTTACACTTATTATCAATGGCAGCTTGGAATATTTTATATTTACTAAAACCATAGCTTTGGTTGACAATTTTTATGGAACAATTTATTTAGGTAACCATTTAAAATGTAAGTAATAGAAAGCGCTTCAGATCTACAAAGTGCCTGATACTCATCACTCATAAGTCTCTAATTTTCCAGACTTTCATTTTGAGATGCCAGAAAGTACAGTGAGTGTGGGGTAACAGCTTCAGGAAAAACCCGTCTAGCTCATTCACTTACTACTTCTAGCTAGGGCAGCGGTTCTCAACCTGTGGGTCGCGACTCCTGGAGAGTTGAATGACTCTTTCACAGGGGTGCCCGATTCAAAACAGTAGCAAAATTATAGTTATGAGTAGCAAGGAAGATAATGTTATGGTTGGGGGTCACCACAGCATAAGGAACTGTATTGAAGTGTCACGGAATTAGGAAGGTTGAGAACCACTGTTCTAGGGTGACTTAAAACAGAAGGGAGAAGTGAGTTTTGGTATTTCTTCACATGAATTATACTGAATCTTAAAAATTTAACATTTCACGTTTTCTAAAGATTTTAAAGCAAGTAAATCTCTATTCCGACCATTTCCCATTTCAAGAGCTGAGCTGCCGCCCTTGGCTGTGACTTCCAGCCATTGGTTACAGACTGAGGGGCTTAATCTGGGAAGAGTGGCTCTTTGCCCTCTTGTTTTCACACCCTACCACAAGAAAACAAATTTGATGACAAAAACTACTCCTAAGTAAATACACCAAGCCTACTCACGTTGGGAGACATAATAGTTTAAACACATCATCTCCATTGAGTCATCCAATACGATCGACATTTTGAAAGCTCATGAATTGAATTAAGAGGTATGAAAAGTTTTGGGTTTTCAAGATGAGGGAGAACTCCTCCCGAAAGGTGCATGAGTCACTGAGGAAACAAATGACTTCAGTGTAGTTCTAACACTAGTTCAGGAAGAAGGATTTCCTTGGGGCTTTGATTTGGGTTACTGAGGAATTGCTGTGCTTAATAATACCCACCCTGCCAGGAATTACCTATAGTACTCCGACCTGTTACTTCCAGTTCTTCTTCCTCATTCTTTTCCCTCTTCCTGATTCTATCTCATGTGTATTCTAGCTTCAATTGATCCTAGTAGTATGCAATTTGTTCCTTTCCAACTATTTAAATTTTTACCAGCTGAAGCAAGTAGCCCGTATAACCAATAGACACAAGTGACTGTAAATGTTTACTTAGAATATGGAAGTACATCCTAAATGTAAAATAATCTGAGAGACATACTGTGGTAGTTACATAATCTGGTGTCAATTTGGGACTTGAGAGGATTAAGAGCAAAGGGGTGGAGTCTAGTCTGTCAATCAGGTCATAGCCAATAAGGCCTCTGTGTGGGCACGGCCTTCTGCTGAGAATTCTGGGAAATCCTGTATTCCTTCTTGGAGGCAGAAGACACCTCTCTTCCAGCTCACTCCCTTGGAGACACTCTACTGACAAGACACATGGCACTACGCTGAAAGACTCCATGCCCTGGGAACCAGAGAAGGCATGTGGAGACCCCTGCTAGCACTGAGATGCTTACAACGCCGCTGGACCCACAAGACTTCACACCCACTGGCCTGTGATCTTCCTGCTTTCGATGTCATTGCATATGTTTTGTGAGTCTGAAAAAGGCTTTATAGATTGTTATCAGACATTTGGGCTAATATCAGACATATGGGCTTGGACGGGACTGGGTTGGGATGTTTTCTTGCATCAAAAGTGTACAATTCCCCTTTATATAAAACTCTCTCTAATACACATATGAATTTCTATGGATTTGTTTCTCTAGTCTCCCCAGACTAACGCACATACATAAGGTAGGAGCTCTTATTTCTTACCTCTCAGAGCCAAAACCAATTTTTAAAACTACCTTTCAGATATAGGCACAGAAAAGACCTCCCTTTCCAACTCTTCAGTGAATTGCAAACATTTTGCATCCTCAGAGCACCTTGTTCTATTACTCATGCTCTCCCTTAACTGTATCTATTTTTGCTCTGAATTGACCATAACATGAAAATAAACATAACATGGACATAAACATAAATAATTTTCTTTCATTTTAACATTCTATTTTCCAGATCTTATTTCCTACTATTTGTCTCCGTATGTCTTTTGCTCAGCTTTTACATATCCCACTGCCCCCTAATATGTCTTTCTCACCCTGGCCCTCAGTAAAGCTGTACTAGACATGTGAGCTCCCAAGCTGCCACCTCCAAAGAATAGTTCATTATTTTTCATACATGATCACTCCATGAATGTGACACAATGCCCACCTCCTAGATGGGGAAATATTGCTTAGTTGTCAAGGGATGGGCTTTGGGAGAGAGATTTGTTTCCATCTTGGCTGGATTCTTTATCCCTCAATCTTGGATACCATTTTGAGCCTCTAAAAGTATTTGTTAAAAATGGTATAATTGTGGCAATACCAACTTAATTTATTTACTTTGAATAGTAAATTGGTGGAATGGGTGCAAAGTAACTGGCCCAACACAAACACCCAGTAAAGGTTTGCTGTTAGTATTTGCCTCATTTGCCTTATTTGCCTTACCCGCAATAGCATCATTCCTACTTCTCTCCCTCCTCATTTTCAGGCGCTACTTCTTCTAGAAGACCTTACATTCCTTGTTGTTGTCTTTGATTAGATTTGTTTGCTTTTAAACTATTATCCAAGGTTCCCATATATACAACAATATTTTTGTCACTTCCATCTTTTCTCTATAGAGTCTTCTGCATGGTCACAACTGATGTTACCTCCTGAATCTATTATTTATAACCTAGGCATCTTTCTATTTATTTCCCTGGTGATGAACCTGCCAGCCACTATTCAGGAGAAAAACTAACAAAGAGTTAGTTTGGTTGGGGTTCTCTCTCTCTCTCTCCTCCTTTGCTTGCTCCCTGGTGGTCTTGCGGAGACCCGCCTCTCTCCTTGGGCTGTACCTTTAGTGCTGTCACCAGGCCTGGAGGACAACATTCCTGCACAGATGACATTCCTGCACGAAACAGCCAATGCGCAGAGAGGACCAAAACCGTGGGGTTGGCCCCAGCACGAGACACAAAGCCCCCTCACTGACCCACAGCACTACAGGGGATAGCACTGGAAACACAGTATGGGAAATGTGCCCCCTCTGATCGCCACACCAGAGAAAAACACAAAGAGAGCCCAACAACGCAGAAAGGGGAGCAAAACAATGAAGTACCCAAGGAATCCTGAAACTAGACCTCAGAATCAGGGGGCAGGCCATGACACTTCACCATGACCGTGGGCAGGCCATGACACTTCACTATGACATTCAGAAGGGTCGCAGACAGACCTGTAACTATTTATAAGCTTTTGAGTTTTCTTTCTTTTTCTCATATCTATACATATAGAATAGGCAGGATAACCAATCCTGAGAAGAAAACAACAAGGACTCATGGCTGGGGGGAGGGGCACATGGGAGTGGAGGAGGTGGGAGAAAGGGAGGGGGAAGCCAACAAACCCAGGGCCAAAGGAACAATAAGAGATCTAAAATAGATGGTGAGGTGGGCATAGAATGCCTGATGGGGTTTAATCAAGTCCAGTGTAACCAAGAGAAAGTACTGTGAGTCAAATGAAGGTCAAACATGATGGTGGGACAGGAGGAAAGTGTAAATAAATAGAGGAAAGAACTAGGAGGCAAAAAGCATTTATAGAGGTATAAATATAGGCATGCACATATGTAAATATATTAATATATAATGATAGAGCTATTGGTCTGTGTACATATATTTAAATGTGAAGTATTAAGTTACTTAATTGGGTCTCTACCCAAGTACTCCCTCAATGCAGGAACACTTTGTTCTAATAACCTGGCATAAGGGTTAGTATCTAAGTGTACCTTCTTAATTATAAATTAATTTTATAACTAGGTTCATTTTAGTTAAAGGCTAGATTTAAACTTAACCTTATCATTAGGAAAATAAAAAGCATCCAAGGTCTTAAAGGCTGGTCTCAAAACAAATCCTCATTTAAATGAGGGGTCAGCTAGGTCCACATGGAAGAACCATCCAGCCTGTGTGGTCCAAAGATCTTAAAGAATAAAACCCAGACCCAGAGGAAGGAGAAGTACCAGAGTCTAAATTATACAT